GAACAAGAAACACTTTTCTTGTAATTGTATTTTCTCTCTTGGCTTGTGTTGCACTCTCACTTTAACAAAGTGGGTTTTCTTCTCAAGAATAAGTGATCCAGCAAATTTACTCCATCACCCTTTATATTGCATCACCTACAAACCATTTTCCTATTTGAGTGAGGTAATGATTTACTTAGGGTAAAAGTTTATTCCAAAAATAAACTTCATGGAATTTTTCTAAAAAGAAATCGGAAAACATTCCTAGAAAGTTTGAATCTGCCGAATTTTTACATGTACTTTCCATGAAGTCCAACGTGAAAGTTGGATTGTAATAATGACAAATCCAATTCAATATTGGATTTTCCTTATAAGTCATTAATTATTATTTTGCTAAAAACAAAGTTCAAATNATGATTTGCATCACATGTAATAAATAATTCAAAATTATGTAACGAATAAGCATGTGACATAAAAACGAAATTCAACATCTTCTAACATGTTTATCTTATATATAACATAAAAATAATTCATGCCAGAAAAGTAGTATTAATTAACATATCATAAACTAATAACAATTAAAAATAACAATAGAATCATGTAACCTATTATAGATTCCCGCCGTATTTAATACAAAATTTCAAATTCAAGTTTTGAACTAGCTCAATAGTTATATGAATACATATTTTATCCACAATAAAATAATATCAACTTTCAAACGATTTGACTATTGTACAATACACATGTATTATGATTTGAACTCTTTAAATATAATATTAAAATATTTCTTAAATAAATTTTAGACACAATAAATCACAGCTCTGATACCACTGAAGGATTGCGTATAGGTGTTCGTAACACGCAGGGGAAGACAATAACAATCTTAGGCAGATCTTTTTATGTTTAAAATTTATTTACATGTCAATAGATCAGATCTAAGACGTACATGGTGAAGAGAGTCTCGTTTCAAAATTTCTTCTTTAGTGCGAAGACTCTATGCGTATCCACACCGAGACTGATCCTTGCTATCAACTCTTTGATCAATGAAACACGCGAACAAATTGAACGAAATATTGTGTTGAAATTTTTCACAAAAATCTCAACTCAATGTTAGAAGAACAAGAAACACTTTTCTTGTAATTGTATTTTCTCTCTTGGCTTTGNGAGCTTAAACTCATTACCAAGAATTGACAGATTCCATCTTGAACAATCACTAATTCTACAAGCATTTAATCATACCCAATATCCTTTCAATTATCGCCCTAGGGCCATATGTGTCTAGTATCAAAGCACAATAAATAACTTGTCAATTACTATGACGATCTCAGGTCAAAGGAAACTGTTACATCACATTCTTCAAGAGAATATCCTATTGACAGTTTATGGTAATTCTAACCATTAGGAATTATCCAATGAGTCGGTTCAATGATCATATCTCTATATGCATCATCTATCTATGTAATTTAGTTAATGAGATCAACTAATCTTTATCCCATAAAGACGATCACATAAATATTGATCTAATCGGATTACTAATGTCCAAATTAATAATCCTACGATCAAGAACAAATTTAGATTAAATTATAAGAGACTTTGCTCTCATTATCATGATCTCTATCACATTGACAAATCCCAAAATTTAATCAAGGACCTTATCAAATTACTCAAACAATTAATAACAATGATAAAAGAATATCAAATGCCATATATATTTTATAAAAATATGTTCAAAACATCAAATATGATATTGGATCTAGGGCATATCTACTATATCCCAAACATCTGCAAACTCGATCCAATCATCTTTATAGGTTGGAGATTCCCTATGAGTGAAACACCAAAAAATTAGCAAGATAACCTACAGCAGCATCACATACTTTCCTTTCCTTCAAGAATTCTTCTATTTTTTTCCCTCCATGTAGTTCACAAATTGCCTGTGGACTCTCTTACCATCCCCTCTTGACTTCCAGCTTCCAAATAATGCTATAACATACCTGGGGTAACGCATCAGATGGAAAATAGATTAAGCATCAAAGTCTGCAGGTTAGTCACAACTTTGTGGTGATTGACAGATGGTCCATGTCCTTTCTCCATCTCTTACACATATTTTTGTTGGTCTTCAATGTTGCAGCAGAAGATTGTAAAATATTATGGAGTTAATCTTCTTAACTAATCTACCTGCTAAATACTTTCAAAGTGTAATTTACTTATTTTCTCCAATGTTATAATGTTCATTATTTTCTTCTTGGCTGCTTTAGTTGTTTGTCCTTCTGACTAGAATATTATGAAATTTCAATTGCAGTAGCTTTCTGGTCTGTAATTAATTCACCCATTTTAGATGTTGGGTAAATTTTGGCAAAGAGTTTTAAGCAGTCTGAAGCATATTTTTAACCTTTCTGGCTGACCTTGAAGCTTTTTCTTTTTATAGAAGATGATTTCTTCTTGTTAATGAGGCCAAACATGCTGAAGTGATAGGACTGACTTTCTAAATATCATCTTTATTTGTTTCGATTTAGCAGGTGTTACTAGTGGAGCCACTAGAACAGCTTTGACACAGCACTTTGCCTTTCAAAACAATGCAGCAAATATAACTGCAAAGGTATTGTGATAGCTATTACAGTGGCTAAAAAATTGCCAAAAATCCACTTACTCAGACTTGGTATCCGTTTTTCCTGTTCTGATAGGAAGGAAGCCAAGAAACTCTTGCTATAATGATTGGGATGGCTTTAGGAATGCTTCTTCCACACATCACAATTGGCCACCCATTTGCAATTTGGATATCCTTTTTGTCTCCTACTATGTTCCATATGTATGGTTAGTTATGCTTTGCTTTCAATTTCCTGTTTCCATGAATTTTATGGTGCAATGCCGAAGCTTTCTTAGTGCAAAATGTACTATCTTGTTGTATCTGGCAGCAAACTATATGGCTGTCCGTAGTCTTTCACTGAATACCCTGAACTTTGAAAGATGCTCCATTGTTTTATCACAATTGTTCAAGACGCCAAGGTGAGTTGAACAATTTAATATTTTCAGTCATAGAATGAATAACTGAATCCATATCCTAGAATATCATTAGAGTAGGAATATTTATGACACTGTGTTGCGATGCTAAAATGCGTTAAATTTTCTGTTGCTTTTATCTTTTGCGATTGAACTATTAATTTAGATCTTTTGTGTGTGCTGAATGTTTCACACGAGTTTTTGACTAGACATGCAGAAAATTATGTAAATCTTGAGCTATATGACGTAAGGTTGCTAATATGGAGGTTTCACACCTTGGTTCAAGTTCTCTCTCCAAAGCAGGTCTCCTCCATGGAGCATGTTCTACCTTCACAACTGACCTGATGGACCCCCAAATACAGTGACTCTCCATACAAGCGAGTACATTTAGGTGTCAGAGTTTCTTCATTTGGCAGCCTTGCTATGTGAGATTTTCACCTTTGTTATTACTAATTCGCACCCATATCTCTTGCTCGTGGTATTAGCAGAGAAGAATATTTGGGTAGTTAAGTAACGACTTGTCTTTTGATCGATAGGGTCAACTTCTTACAAATCTGCTGAATCAACTCACAAAAAAGGTTGATAGACATGTTAAACATTTTTCAAGATAAGTTATTTGACCTAAGAGTTTCACTTATATATACATTCTCTCTTGTCTTTTCAGTGAAGTATTTACTTCAACAAGAAAGGGAAATTATCAACATTGTTACTCATAAGGATTCAGCTGCAGCTGATATATTGCAATCATTCATCCATGAGCTTGTCATGGCAAAACTAGGTGATCAAGGTGGATCCATGTCTTTTGAGAGCCAATCCTGGATGGATAAACACTACGTAGTATTTGTTCTGAAGGTATTTTCCTACATGAAGAGCTTTCGGGGACGAAATTCATGATATATTCACTGCTTTTATAATTAGATCATAGTCAATTAATGTTGCTATTGAGTAGGTTGATCTTATCCATGCTTCTCTTTAATGTGAGATTACAGAATTTTAGCCAAATTATACAGAACCAGCTCCTCTGCTTTGGCCTATCACAGTTGCAGGCCAGTAGTCCTATTATTCTGCATATAGAATAGTTTTTGATGTTTATGTACTGACCAATCAACCTTGTAAAATTGTGTGCAACACAGCACTGCTTGAAATATCTCTATTTTTGGCACAAGATGAAGACTGCTCCTATAGGCACGAGGTATATGTGTATATTCGTACTTATCTGTATCTTGCTATTTCATGTGTGCTTGGTTAATTTTTTACATTCTAGTTTTAGATTTCATCTCGATGGGGTTACTACTATTAAAAGAAATCTGATGTATTTTTTATTGAATAACTAGATCTTGTTTCGTGACTCATACAAGTGTAAGGAGAATATGCTCCAGTATTGCTAATGACTGCTGACATTAATTGCTTTTAAAGTGTTCCCAAATGTGTTCTTCCAAAGCAATAAATGACTTTGAAATAGTCATTAGTTAGCTGGCATAATAAAATAGTCAGTCAAAATGGGCATAAGGCGTATATTATTTGGTTTTTCTTGTTTGGTAGGGTTAGGGAGGGTGAATTGAAGCCCATGGACGCAGAGCAACAGAGAGAGTATGGCCACAAGATGGTGAATTTCATTGCTGATTATTACAAGAACAATGAGAACTACTGTTCTCAATCAAGTTCAGGTTTTCACAACCTATTAATTTCGTTTTGTATTTGTTCCGAAAGTATTTTGGTGGAGTTTGTGGAGACTTAGCTAGAAAAAAATTATTCCATTATATTCTAAATGATTTAGTGAAGCTCAATTTTTTAATGAATATATTTTTACTATCTTAGCTGGTTGGTGACCATATCATATATCATTCCACATGATAAAAAATTTATTTAGTTCCATGAGGATTTGAATTTGTAATGTTTGTCACTCTGGTGATTATTTATGAAATTTGTTTTATGTTGTAAGTTATTTGATATAATTATTTCTTTAATCCTACAAATAAAAAATATTCAAATAGAAAAAGAGTTTTCAACAACAAAAATATTGTGGCAGAAATGAACTGCCACTATTTATTTTAAAACACTAATATTATATTGTAGCGGTTATACACCCCACATAACTTTTAAAAAAAAATATTTAGATCATATTTTGGGGTTTTATAAACCCCCACATAACTTTTTTTTAAAAAAATATTTAGATCTATTTTGGGGGTTTATAAACCCCCACATAACCTTTTTTTTTCCAAATATTTAGATCATATTTTGGGGGTTTGTAAACCCCCCACAATATTTATTTTTTGAACCATGCGATCATATTGAGGGAGTTTATAAACCCTCGCAGTATTGTTTTATTGACACATTGAAATCATATTGCGGGGGTTTAAAACTGACACTAATTATCTTTCAAAACCCTCACAAATTAAAAATTCATTTTGTGGCGTTTGTCATGGAGGTTTTAAAAATTCGTTGCAATAATGCTCGTGGCAAAAGTAACTGTGGCACTTCTAGAAACCGTCACAATTCTTTTAGTGGGGGTCAAAAACTGTCACAATTTGACCAAAAAACCCCCTATAAAGTAGGTATTTTCTTGTAGTGTACATCACTGTGCCTGATAATTGGCTCTGTACCTACTGTGGGAATAACGAGCATTTAAAAGAAAATTGCCAAGTCAGGGTTCAGTCTCTTCAGAAAAACAAAGTTTTTGCTGAAAGAGGACCAGGTGCCACACATAAAAACCGCATGTTACCTGCATGGGCTAGAAGAGAACTTATTCATCCCTTTCCTTATTACAAGGGACCCAAACTTGTTTGGTTCCTAAATCTAACCCTTGATTTCCTTGTCCAGAAAACATTGAAAGGAAGCAGTCAACAATGGTTCATAGATAGTGGATGCTCAAAGCACATGACTGAGAATACCATAGACTTTCTTTCACTAAAAGCCCTACAAGGAGGGAGTGTATCCTTTGGAAATGGAAAAAAGGGGTACATTCTTGGAGTTGGAAAAAATGGAAAATCACTCATTCACTCAATTGAGAATGTGTACTATGTCAATGGTCTTATGTACAGTCTCTTGAGTGTTTCTCAAATATGTGATAAAGGAAACAAGGTGAAGTTCTTGTCAAAGATATGCACAGTTACAAATCTAGTAACTGGTGAAGTGGTACTTATGGCCAAAAGATACAAGAACATATACATTGCTTATTTTAAGTCCTTACAAAGTGGTGATCTAAGCTGCTTGAAAGCAGTTGATGATGATGCTAAACTATGGCACAGAAGGCTGGGGCATGCAAGCTTCTCTCTACTGAATAAGCGGATTCAGAAGGACCTGGTTCGTGGTCTGCCCAAGTCAAAGTTCAAAGAGCAAAAAAGTCTGTGATGCCTGTGCTAGAGAAAAGCATGTGAAATCCTCATTCAAGCAAAGGAAGGATATCATCACCTTAAAACCACTTGATCTTCTTCATATGGATCTATGTGGCCCTATGAGAGTGCCAAGCAGGGGAGGAAAAAGATATATTTTTGTGATAGTGGATGACTATTCTAGATTCACTTGGACTCTGTTTCTTAGAACAAAAGATAAGACCTTTGAAATTTTTGTAGCTTTTGTGAAGAAAATTCAAGTGAAGAGGGAATCAAAAGTAGCATGCATTAAATCAGATCATGGAATAGAATTTGACAACGCTAAGTTTGACGAATTCTGCAATGAGAATGGCATCACCCACAACTTCTCATCCCCAAGAACTTCACAGTAAAATGGAGTTGTGGAAAGGAAGAATAGAACCTTGAAGAAATGGGAAGGATAATGCTGATGGATAGTGGGATTGCAAAGAACTTCTAGGCTGAAGCTATTAACACTACCTACTATTTGGTGAACAGGTGCATGGTCAGGTCTCTCTTGAACAAAACTCCTTATGAGTTGCTGAATGGAAGGAAACCCAAGCTGACTCACTTAAGAACATTTGGGTGTAAATACTATGTTCTCAACAATGGAAAAGATCAACTTGAAAAATTTGATGCCAAGACTGATAAAGGAATTTTTCTGGGGTACTCTTCTCAAAGTAAATCCTACAAGGTATACAACAAGTGGACTCAGTGTGTTGAGGAGAGTATACATGTAATCTTTGATGAGTCCTATCTCTCCTGTGAGAAAAACAAGAAGGATGATCAAGATGAAGAGCCTCTGCTGGTTCCAGGAGAGGTTATTGATATGGCAAATGGAAAGGCAGATATGATGAGTCAAGTAAAGGAGACAGGTGAAGACAATGCAATCTCTTCCCCATCAGCCGGAGAGGAACCAGGTACTACAATCACAACCACTGGAGCTGAAGAAAGAGTGGTTGATGCAGTTCAAAGTACTCCACAAGTAGCAAAAATAAGGATACAAGAGAACCAATCAAGCTTACCTAGCTCCTCTACAAATGAAATTCAAGTGCCCAACTGGAAACACAAAAGCTCCCATCCTCTCGACAACATAATCACTCATCTGGATTCAGGAGTCCAAACTAGATCAAAAGCCATAAATTCACTTGCCTTCTCAGCATTTCTCTCCCAAATAGAGCCCAAAAATATTAAGTAAGCATTAAAAGATACAGACCGGATCACAATCATGCAAGATGAGTTACATTAATTCGAAAGGAACAAAGTATGGCACTTGGTACCTAGACTCTCATATCAGACCATCATAGGGACCAGGCGGGTATTCAGAAATAAGCTTGATGAATATGGAAACATTACAAGGAACAAGGCAAGGCTAGTGGTTCAAGGCTACAATCAGGAGGAAGGAATTGATTATGATGAGACATTTGCTCCGGTTGCTCGTATGGAAGCTATCAGAATCATCATTGCCTTTGCATCACATATGAAATTCACTATGTTCCAAATGGACGTCAAAAGCGCATTTCTGAATGGTTTCCTCAAGGAAGAAGTCTATACAAAGCAACCTCCAGGTTTTGAATGTCATGAACACCCCGAACATATGTTCAAATTGGACAAGGCAATGTATAGGTTGAAGCAGACTCCTCGAGCTTGGTATGAAAGGTTGTCAAATTTTCTCTTAGAAAATGCTTTTACAAGAGGAAAAATTGACAACACTTTGTTTCTGAAGAAACGAGGGAGGAACCTGCTCATTGTTCAGGTATATGTTGATGATATCATTTTTGGGGCAACAACTGATTCACTATGTGAGGAATTTGCAAAACTCATGGGAAGTGAGTTTGAGATGAGCATGATGGGTGAGTTGAATTTCTTCTTGGGTCTTCAAGTGAAGCAGTCCATAAAGGGAACATTCATTAGTCAGCAGAAGTATATCAAAGAGCTTCTGATGAGGTTTGACATGAAAGCATCAAATGTGATTGACACTCCCATTGCCACTGCTACTCGACTAGACATGGACGAATCTGGCTCTCTAGTAAATCAAACAATGCATAGAGGCATCATTGGATCTCTCCTCTATCTTACTGCAAGCAGACCAGATATTGTTTTCAGTGTGGGACTATGTGCAAGGTTTTAGTCAAATCCCAAGGAATCTCATCTGAAGGATGCCAAAAGAATCTCGAGATATCTTTAGGGAACATAGACCTTGTTCTATACTACCTTTCAGGTGATAATTTCAATCTTATTGGGTATGCTGATGCTGATTATGCAGGTTATCTTGTGGATAGAAAAAGCACATCTGGAATGGCTCACTTCTTGGGATCATTTCTTATCTCATGGGGCACAAGAAAGCAAAATTCAGTAGCTCGTTCAACAGTTGAAGCAGAATATGTTGGTGCAGCCTCCTACTAAGCTCAACTTCTATGGATTAAACAACAGTTGGAAGACTTTGGAGTGTACACTAACTATGTACCTCCTCTTTGTGATAACACAAGTGCACTCAACATGGCCAAAAATCCAGTCCAGCATAAAAGAACCAAGCACATTGATGTGAGACATCATTTTCTCAGAGACAATGTGGAAAAGGGGCTTATCTGTATGAAGTTTTGCAGCATAGAAGACCAAATTGTAGATATCTTCACCAAAGCCCTGAGCAGAGAATACTTTGAGAGAAATAGACTGGCACTGGGGCTAATAAAGACTAATTGAGAACCTGATTCCTACTTTATGGCTATGAAAATCACATACAAGTAAAATTAGTAAAATATTTTTCGGCCAAGTCTAACTCACTTCTATACCGTTACAGGTCAACACACATGATGATTATAGAAGCTACTGAGGCAATGCATGAGCGGTAAAAGAAGGTTGAGCATTTTTAAAGACTGGTAAGGAACTTGGTTCTTGTGCTACAGGTGAGTAGTCTTTCGGTTTTCTCATACTTATGTTAAAAGAAAACAAAAATAATGCCATGTCATCAACCTTTTTCGGACTCTGTATGTCACGTCTTTTTGTTGCCTTTTTGTTCAAATCCTTTCACTTCCCTCTGAAACATTGCATCTTCCCACATATCTACCACCGTTTCAGAATCCATTTCTCTTTCCTTCATAATTGCTATTCACCTCATTATAACCCTCTCACTCCCAGAAACTTGAACGACCATCTCTGTCTTCCTCAGTCTCTCCAGAACCTTCAAGAAAAATTCTCTACCATGGCTAAGGATCACACAATCCATCCTACCACTGAAGAGAAAAACCTCGAATTTTCTCCTGTAGAAACAACACCAGTCATCCCTTCTTCCACCACTGTTCAAATAGAAAACCTTAAATCAGTTTCTCTTTCACCCTACATCTCTCTCTCTCTCTCTACTCCCTCTGACTCTACTCCTTCTCTATGTGTTGAGAACTCAAACAACCCTAAGAATGAAAGTCTATCTCTCTTGTTGCCTGAGACACTCAAA